CCCGGCTATTTTTTGGTTGACAGCCGTCATTGTTGTTTGGCGGGTCCGGGCTGGGGATTCGAACCCTCCACCTTAGATGTACATGGCTGGCGCCTTAGCCGGTTGAGCTATAAGCGCCGAGCCGAGCTGTCATAATATTATAAGCAGTGTGTTATGTGTTTGTAGTGATGCTGGTGTAAACAAAACTGCTGCCAAAAGCACAACACAGGCCAGGTGTGGTGGAACACACCTGTAATCCTAGCACTTTGGAAGGCTAAGGCGGGTGGATTGCTTGAGCTCAGGAGTGTAAGACCAGCCTGAGCAACAGTGAGACCCATCTCTACTAAAAATAGAAAAACTAGCCAGGCGTTGTGGCAAGTACCTGGAGTCCTAACTACTTGAGAGGCTGAGGCAGGAGGGTCACCTGAACCCAAGAGATTGAGATTCCTATGAGCGAGACTGATGCCACAGCACTCTACCAAAGGCAACAGAGTAAGACTCTCTCTCTCAAAAAACAAAAATTATTTTTTCAGTAAATAGAATAAGGATATAAAGAAAATATTTTTTGTATAGCTGACCAAATTTTTTAAAATAACAAAGTTAAGGTAATCTAGGATTAATTTATCATTGAAGAAAGGAAAATTTTTCTTACAAACTTCATGTAGCCTAAGTGTACAGTGTTTATAAAGTCTCTGGTAATGTACAGTCATGGTCTGGGCCTTCACATTCATTCACCACGACCTGAGTCACCCCAGAGCAATTTCCAATCCTGCAAGCTCCATTCATGGTAAGTGGCCTGTAGAAGTGTAACTTTTTTTTTTTTTTTTTTACAGTTTTTGGCCGGGGCTGGGTTTGAACCCGCCACCTCCAGCATATGGGACCGGCACCCTACTCCTTTGAGCCACAGGTGCCACCCCCATTTTTTATCTTTTCTACTGTATTTTTACTGTACCTTTTCTATGTTTAGATAAACAAATACTTATAATTCTATTACAGTTGCCTACAGTATTCACTGCAGTAACCAGCTGTACAGGTTTATAGCCTAAGAGCAATAGGCCATAACATATAGCCTAGGTGTGGAGTCGGTTTGTGTCATTACACCCTATGACATTCACACAATGACATAGTGGCCTAACGATGCATTTCTCAGACCACATCCTCATCGTTAAGCTACACATGACTGTTGTTGCTCTGCCTGGTCTTACGCATCCCATGGAAAGGATGCTTCATGCTTCCCAAATCAATTGTCCCATCTGGGGGCAGCTCTCAATGTGAGCAGTGTCAACCAAGATACACAGCCAAGGAAATGCAATTGATTTTTGATTCAACAAATATTTATGAAGCATTTATTGTTCTAGGGATGTATCAGTAAATAGGACAGACAAAGTGCCTTTCCCTAGGGAGCTTGTTTTCTAGCTAAAGAAATAGTATCTTTAATTCTCAACAACTTTCCATAGATAATTTTCCAAAATATATAAGGTCACAATAAAACATGAGGAAAATAAGATACTAAAAGGATTGTTGGTAGCCTCAATAATCAGCAAAACTAGACACATAAAGAGTCCTGAGGCTCAGCGCCTGTGGCTCAAGTGGCTAAGGCACCAGCCACATACACCTGACGTAGCGGGTTCGAATCCAGCCCGGGCCCGCCAAAACAACAATGATGGCTGCAACCAAAAAATAGCTGGGCATTGTGGCGGGCACCTGTGGTCCCAGCTACTTGGGAGGCTGAGGCAGGAGACTTGCTTGAGCCCAGGAGTTGGAGGTTGCTGTGAGCTGTGATGCTACGGCACTCTACCCAGGGGGACAGCTTGAGGCTCTATCTCAAAGAAAAAACAAAAAAGAGTCCTGATCAGAATTAGGGCAATTTTGAAGGACTCTAAATTTCATAGGGAGACCCTATGTCAAAATTCCTCGACAGTGGGAAAATCAGGTAGCGTGGCTTGGCTGTACTCAAAAATTGCTCAAAAACTGCTCTTACCGGGCGCAGTAGCTCACGCCTATAATCCCAGCACTGTGGAAGGCTGAGGACAGAGAATTGTTTGAGCTCAGGAGTTTGAGACTCAGGAGTTATGAGACCTGGACTCATTAAAAAAAAAAAGTCATCGGCGGCGCCTGTGGCTTAAGGGAGTAGGGTGCCGACCCCATATGCCAGAGGTGGTGGGTTCAAACCCAGCCCCGGCCAAAAACTGCAAAAAAAAAAAGCCAGCGGGGAGCTGTGGTGAGCACCTGTAATCCCAACGACTTCTAGAGGCTGAGGTAGTGGGATGCCCACAGCCTGTGTCTGAGGTTGCAGTGAGTTATGATGCCATTGCACTCTGCTCAGAGCATAGGGTAGGACTCTGTCTCAACAACAACAACAAAATTCTGCTCTTGTAAAAAGCTCTTTTCTTTTTCTTTCAGTTTTTTTCATATATTGCTCCACAAGAAAAGGGAAACAAACCAGCCTTCAGATTAACACCCACTCCCTTCCCCAGGCATTTTTGTTCAAGTGAAAAAGACAAGAAGAGTGAGATCTTGGGATTCATTTTATTTTTTTTTTTTCCTCTCAACATTTTATTTTTTAGTTTGTGAAATACAAATCAAAGTACATTTTTGTTACGTATTTTAACAAGCTTGACGTTCTTTTTCATACAGAATGACTTAATACAGGTACTTTAGAAACTTCCTTTTAAAAAACCATACATGTTGTTGTGAGGGAAAAAGGTTCATCAGAGAAATACGTGGGTACATGGGCTATTGTTTTTCAATCTTTTAGAGCATGCCCTCCAACTTAAAATTTGGTCCACTAAAATATATGTGTTCCTCCTGTCACAAAAATAATTTAAACGTCATGGTTGAAAAAACAGAAATATTTGGCATAGGCCTGAGTGAGGCTTGAAAAATAAGTGAGGATGTATTTCAACTGAACATTATAGAATCCACTTAGAACCATCTAGCAAAACAATTGACCTGTTGCTGTTGCACTGTTCTGCCTCAGAGGGGGTCAGAAGGTGCATGGGAGGGTGCTGAAGACTCATGACAGCCACAGAATCACATACTCAAAACTAACCAAAATTCAATACAGAATACTACATGGTAACAGCAGAATAATCTCAACAGTTATTCCATGCCTGGAAAGCAAGTTGTAAGCTTAGAACAAGTACCTCAGCAGAAACAATAGTTAACATGTTTGTAAGACTTTGAAGGTGAGAAAACTTCATCATTCATTAATGATGCCTTATGCACAAGTACATTAGTTTCCAGGACACTGGGGACAACAAAAACATACAAAGTTAAGAATAAATCCAAGCTGCTTAACCTTCTACCATTCTTTTGAGTATTAAACCCAGGCCACCTTTGGCCACTTGCAGGGGCGTCTTTTCCTCTTTATTTTCTATGTAAATACTTGCTCCTTGGGACACCAGCAGTTTTGCTTCTTCCACTCTCTCCTCGTCACAGGCTAAGTGTCCTTGGCTGCTGCGCGGTGCATTGCTGTAGCCTCATAATGGTCCTTGGCATCTGGATTAGCACCACCTTCCAGTAACATGACAGCAATCTCATGCCTGTTTTTGGATGCTGCATAATGGAGGGGAGTACATCCATTTTGATTGACAGCATTCACTTGAGCACCTTTTCCCAGAAGGGCTCTCACAATCTCATCCCAGCCAGCAGAAGCAGCAATATGAAGAGGAGACCAACCCGCATCATCTTTATCATTCACCGGCACACCAAGTTGCAACAAGAATTCAACAATTTCTGTATGTCCAGCTGAGCATGCCCAGTGCAAGGCAGTTCTGCTGTCCTGGTCAGTTCTAGTAGCCAGGGATTTATCGGCCAGGATTCTCTCCTTCAACTCCTCCAGCTTCCCGCTGTAGGCCAGATTGCAGACGGTCAGGTTCGACACACACCCCTCCATTTCGCTTTCCCAGAGTCTCTTGGGATTCATTTTAAACTGGAGATCAACCAGAGTTATAAAATCAAGATGAAAGGAAATATTAACACCTATTTTTTTTTCTCTCTCTCAGATACTACTCGTAAGAAGAAAAATCACCAAAGCTTGAGAAGAGCATTGAAAAAATGTCAAGAATTCCTAGATCTCTATGATATTAAACAGTTCTACAGTTGTCCCTTCAATATTGCCCAGGTATTGAGAATGGCTAAAATTATAATGGCAGTGTGAAATGTTGGCAAGGATGGAGAACAACCAGAAGTCTCATGCATTTGTTCATAGAAATTGTAAAATAGTAAAATTGCTGGGTGGCGCCTGTGGCTCAGTGACCAGGGCACTGGCCCCATATACTGAGGGTGGCAGGTTCAAGCCCAGCCCCAGCCAAACTGCAACAGAGAAACAGCTGGGTGTTTTTGTGGCAGGTGCCTGTGGTCCCAGCTACTCCGGAGGCTGAGGCAGGAGAATTGCCTAAGCCCAGGAGTTGGAGGTTGCTGTGAGCTGTGACACCAGGCACTCTACTGAGGGCAATAGGGTGAGACTCTGTCTCTACAAAAAAAAAAAAGTAAAATTTCTTTGGAAAGAGTTCTGGTAGTTTCTTATAAAACTAAGCATACAAGATTGTCCAGGGAATTGTGCTCTCTAAACATACCATAGTTTGGAGACTAGGCACCCTGTTCATGACTCTTATATACCTTGCCTTCTTAATTTAGTGGTTTAGTCCAACCTGTCTGTGATGCCTGTATCCTGTATCCCTGGATTTCTCTTCAGACCAGCTCTCCTTCCAGACTCTTGCAAATGTAAACCATTATCAACAAAAGGAACTGCAAGAGAATGTGATTGATCCAAGGAACTATACATTTTTTAATTAACAGAGTTATTTGTTATTTGGCCACTATTGACTCACACTGTAGAGCTGTATAAGTATAAAAAAACTATTTTAAAATACCCTGGCTCGGCGCCCATAGCTCAGTGGTTATGGCGCCAGCCACATACACCAGGGCTGGCAGGTTCAAACCCAGCCTGGGCCTGCTAAAACAATAATGACAATTGCAAGGAAAAAATAGCCAGGCATGTGGCAGGCTCCTGTAGTCCCAGCTACTTGGGAGGCTGAGGCAAGAGAATCACGTAAGCCCAAGAGTTTGAGGTTGCTGTGAACTGTGACACCACGGCATCTACTGAGGGCAACACAGACTCTGTCTCAAAAAACAAACAAACAAATAAAAAAACCCCAAATATTTATACAGTGACTAACCAGGGATATTAGGGATTAGGGATAAAAAAGAAAACCTACAAATTTTATTTATTTGGAGTCAAAAGTATCAGGTAATTTAATCTCTCTGTGTATCAGTTTTCTTATCTGATAGAAGGGGGATCTGTAAAAATGTGAATAAATCAGTTGTTATAAGGGTTAAATGAGATATCGTATGGAAAACATTTTACATAACGGCTATTGTATAGTAAGTGTCCAGGAGATTGTACTTGTTAAAATCACGTGAAGCATTCTTTATACTGCCAAGTACAAGAAGCAAAATGACATTTTCTTTTAGTATGTTGTCTCCTATCTTCATTATGCCTGGGGCCATGTCAGCTAAATACCATTAGAGTCTTTTCTTTAGTCCTACTCCCATAAAAGTGTCACTCTTGGCTGAACATAGTAACTCATGCCTATAATCCTAGCACTTTGGGAAGGCTGAGGCAAGAGGATTGCTTGAGGCCAGGAGTTCAAAACCAGCCTGGGCAATATAGTAAGACCCTATCTCTATAAAAAAATTAAAAAGCAACAAAAAATGTAATTATCATTCTTTCTGAGGCTCTCATGATAAAGCTTTTTGAAAGAGCATCAAAAAGGCTATGCATGCAGAAAGTCTAGTTAAAGCCTAAACAAGACTGATGCAAACAGCCTTGTACATCTTTGTATGCTTCTCGGATTGTTAACTTAGAATCTAGTGCTTATCCAGGGCTCCTTGTATCCTAGCATCTTTCTTGGAAGTTCATTTTTCCTAAATCATTTCAGGTCTTTGAAGTTTTTCTCAGTTCAAATGAGCTCTGCCAGTTTGTAATGACTACATTGGATGGCCTGAAAAATCTGAAACATCCCTGCACCCAGCAGTCAGCAGGAGAATTGCTGATAACATTGGTGAAAAATGCAGAGTCCCGATTTGAGAAGGTAAAAGCTCAGTGGCCATTTCCAGGGTTTCAAATACTGACAAGACCCTTTCATTCCTGCAGCTGCTGACGTCTCCTCCTATTCAGCAGAGAACAACTACTAACAAGGACACAGACCTTCATCCATTCCACAAACATACACTAACAACACAACCACTGTGTATACAATGAGGAGGAGAAATTCTTAAATACAAAGTGTGGTCCACATTTTCCACAAGAGCAGAATTTTTTCTGGGGAGATATGATTAACACATATGAAAACAGTAAGTTTATTTTTTTTTTCTAGAGAACAGTATCTTTAACTTAGAAACTCACCCAGATAGGTTCAGGTATCAAGATAAAATAAGCCATAAGTAGCCCTAGAAGGAGGCAGACTTAGCCTAAAATCAAGAGAATTTATCTAAATATATCTAAAATGGATGCACCAAGAAATAACAATGTAATTGCATCATTTAGAAATAGAGAAGGGCATACAGAAAGAAATAAAAGAGATGAAAGTTGTTGTCTCTAGAGAGCACACCTGGGGAATAGGGAGGAAAGAACCCTGAAATACTACTGGATTTTTAAAAATATGTGCATGTTGTGCTTTGATAAAAATAAAAAATAGGCCAGGCACAGTGGCTCACGCCTGTAATCCTAGCACTCTGGGAGACAGAGGTGGGAGAATCCCTTGAGCTCTACTAAAGAGCAAGACCAACTCTATTAAAGTAGAAAAACTGGCTCTGCACCCATAGCACAGTGGTTATGGTACCAGCCACATACACCGAGGGTGGCAGGTTCAAACCTGGCCCAGGCCTGCTAAATAACAATGACAATTCCAACAAAAAATAGCCGGGCATTGTGGCAGGTACCTGTAGTCCCAGTTACTTGGGAGGCTGAGGTGGAAGGAATGCTTAAACCCAGGAGTTTGAGGTTGCTGTGAGCTACGCTGATGACATGGCACTCTACCCTGGGCAACAGAATAAGGCTCTGTCTCAAAAAAAATCAAAACATGAGAATAGGCCAGGGGCCGTGGCTTATGCCTGTGATCCTGAGGAGGCTGAGGCAGGAGGATTGCTTGAACTCAGGTGTTTCAGACTAGCCTGAGCAAGAGCAAGACCCTGTCTCTACTTAAAATAGAAAAATTAGCCGGGTGATCTAGTGGGTGCCTATAGTCCCAGTTACTTGGGAACTTGGGAGCTTGAGGCAGGAGGATTGCCCAGGAGTTTGAGGTTGCATTGAGCTATGATGATTCCACCATACTCTATGTGGTTGACAGAGTGAGACTTTGTCTCAAAAATAAATAAAAAATAAAAAGTAATTTTTAAGTGATGAGAACCCATTTTTAGACTATTAAAATAGCAAAGATGTAAAAGTAACAGTATGATGAGTGCATAATAAGATGTTCCCTTATATCAGTGGGTGCTTTCAGAAACCAAAAAGTAGCTGTCGAGTTCCAAGGGATTTATTATCTCACATAAGTCTGAATGTAGAGTATTTTCCAGGATTGGTTCAGTGATTAAACAGAAAACCCAGAGGTTTTTCTATCTTTCCACTTTGTCCATTCACATGATCATAAGGTAGTTGCAACAATTTTAGACTTTCTGAGCTAATAAGACTGTATCCAGAAAGAAGAAAGCTACTGTCTTGCTTTCCATGTCTTTATTCAGGAAAGAAAATCTTTCCCACAAGCCCCCAGTAAGTCTACCCTTATATTTCATTGGGCAGAGTGAAATGTTCTCACCTGCCCATCCTTAAACCAGTTTCTGGTTTAAGGTGATGATGCAAACATTTTATATAAAGTTTTCGAGGACTGCCTCTCTGAGAAGCTAACAATTCTACAGTGACTTGAAGCCATGAGACTGTGGATGGGAAGAGTAGTCCAAACAGAGAAAGGAACCAGAGCCCAGCGGCTCCTATTTCCTTTACCTGAGCCTGATGGACATCTATAGGGGAGGACTCTGCCGTTCTCAGAGTCACAGTGGAAAAAAGCCCAGCTTCCTTGTAATACTTTTATTAGTTTGCCTTAGTATAAAAGCAATATATAATCATAGAAAAAAAATTAGAAAAAATATAGAAGGAAAAAATAAATCTAATATCCCATCACTCAAAGACTTTAGTAACATCTTTGATTAGAAATCCTTCCAATTCTTTTATACACATATACATACATACAGATACACTATGTGCTTTAAGTAGTTTCGATCACAAACTCTTTTTAAATAATAAACATCTGTTTAAAAGTAACTCCTCAGGATCTTTCACAAATATCCTCAGTAACCATCAGTGTCCTATGGATTATGGTCTTAGAAATTTCTTTTTCCTCTTCAGGTGCCTGAAATTATGGGAGTTATCTGTTCCCAGCTATCTGTAATCAGCCAGCCTAGCCTCCGTGAACAAATCATAACTACTGTGAGTTTGTTTATATCCAGGCCCAAGTACACAGATACAGTGCTCAACCACCTTCTGTGTCATCCAATACCATATGACAGGTAACAGAACCCTGTGGGCTCTGGATTAAACTGGAGTATGTGACATAGCTCTGAAGATACAGATATGTGCCTGTGATATAAATTAGAATGTAATACATAATCATAAGTAAACAATTTAACTAATCCAGAATGAAGAACATTCTATAAGATAATTGGGCTGGACTCTTCAAAAAAGTTAATGTCAGGCAGGGCCTTGTGGCTCACCCCTTTAATCCCAGCCTGGGAGACTGAGGTGGGTAGATTGCTTGAGCTCAGGAGTTTAAGACCAGCCTGATGGCTTGGCGCCTGTGGCTTAAGTGGCTAAGGCTTCAACCACATACACCTAAGGTGGCAGGTTCAAATCCAGCCCGGGCCCACCAAAACAACAATGATGGCTGCAACCAAAAAAACCAAAAAAATAGCCGGGCATTGTGGCAGGTGCCTGTGGTCCCAGCTACTTCGGAGGCTGAGGCAGGAGACTTGCTTGAGCCCAGGAGTTGGAGGTTGCTGTGAGCTGTGATGCCATGGCACTCTACCCAGGGGGACAGCTTGAGGCTCTGTCTCAAAAAAAAAAAAAAAGACCAGCCTGACCAAGAGCAGGACCCCATCTCTATTAAAAATAGAAAAACTAGCTGGGCACTGTGGCAGACACCTATAGTCCCAGCTACTCAGGATGCTGAGACAAGAGAATCACTTGAGTTTGAAGTTGCTATGAGCTAGGCTGACACCATGGCACTCTATGCAGGGTGATGGAGGGAGACTCTGTCTTCAAAAAAAATTTTTTTTTGATGCACTTTAAAAACTGACAGTAAGCACAACACAGTGACTACAATCAACAATAAGTTAGAGTGTTCCTTAAAATAACTAAAAGGGTAGACTTGGAATGTTCTAACACAAAGAAATAATAGATGCCTGAAATAATGGATACCCCAGTTACCCTGATTTCACTAATCTCCATTGTATGCCTGTATCAAAGCATCACATGTACCCTATACATATATACAACTACTTTGTACCCATAATAATTTAAAATTTTTTAAGGATTAAAAAAAAACCTGACTGTAGCATACAAAGATTTGCTAGGTAGATTCGGAAAATAAGAAAATAGATTAAACTCATGAGTAACTCTCCTTCTTCCCTCCAGCATAATGCTCTTCCACAGTGTTTATGTAACTCTCAGACCCAGCATTTGAATCAGTGATAGAGAAGTTCTTACATACCATTTTCCTTAAGAGAGCTCATCTAAGTAGTATCAAAGCTTTTATTTCAGGGATTGACCTTAGCCAAAATTTGAGGACCATAGACTGGATTGAATAAATGTCTTGGAATGCCTTCTGTGAAGCTGGCATTGTGCTAGGCCCAGAGGAATTCATAGAAGAGCAAAAAGAATCCCTTCCTTCAGAGGGAACAGAGAGATGCACACGTAGCTGACAGTAGCACGTGTAAGACTGTAGCATCCTTTAAGAAAAAATTTTTAAAAGTCTTATGGAAACTCTTGTGAGCGACATGGTGAAGAAGCAGCAAAGGCTTCACAGAAGAGATGACATTGGAACTAAACACTGAAGGATTTTGACAAGCGGAGAAGAGTCCTGGAAAGGGCCTTCCAGTTTAAGAAAGTGGCATAAGCGAAAGAATAAGGTTTTCAGAGTCTGTGCTTTGTTTGGTAAAGGTGGCTTGAGCACAGAGTAGATGACAGGGACGTGGTAAGGTTAACAGTTAAGTCAGGGCCAGTTTACAAAAAACCTTGAAGTCCATGTTGAAGCCATGGGAACTTGACTCGGCAAAACCTTGGGAGTTATGAATTCAGTAAATCTTCAGCAGCACCTGTGGCTCAGTGGGTAGGGCACCGACCCCATATACCAAGGGTGGTGGGTTCAAATCTAGCCCTGGCTGAACTACAACCAAAAAATAGCCGGGTGTTGTGGCGGGTGCCTGTAATCCCAGCTACTTAGGAGGCTGAGGCAAAGTTGCTGTGAGCTGTGTGACGCCATAGCACTCCACCAAGGCCAATAAAGTGAGACTCTGTCTCTACAAAAAATAAAAAAATTTCAAAAAAAAAAAAAATCAGTAAATCTTTTGATGCCCTGAAGAACTGAGCAGAGAGGAAAACCTCGTATAGATTGGATTCCAAACAAACTATAAGAAGGTGTAGTTATGGCGTAAACTGGACTCTCCTGAATCTTTTCCTCTTTGGGATTTCTAGGCATCTAGCTGAGTTGTGGAGAACCCTGGAGGTAGAGCTGCCCAGCACGACCTGGATTCTATGGAGGCTCCTGAGGAAGCTGCAGAAGTGCCATAATGTGCCCACCGAGGAGAAGATGGCCTATGTGGCCGTGGCTGTAAGCCCCCTGACCTCTGCCCACGGTGCCCCCTCTGTGGGTAACTGATACCACACCCCACTGGCAGAGTTTTCCTTTTGGGTCCCCTCAAGATGTGCTCTGTCATCCATTTATAAGTCCACAGTGTCTCTACCAGGAGACTGACATGGAGAAGCTAGGAAGAATACAGGAATCATGGTTTAATATGTTATAAATATTCCTTCTCTTGCCCTTTTTTTTTTTTTTTTTTTTTT